CCTCCTAACTATGACCAATAACGAGATACAAACTATAATTTTGGGGGTTTTACCTCTGATTTATAGCTGAGTTGTCTGTAACGAACAATCTCAGCTTTTGCAATCCACACAGGATTGCATGAGAGCTGCGCAAACAAGGAAGCCCTGACTAACACGCCTCGTGATAACATCTTACAGTAAATCTTCTGGCCCTTTCCACCCTCTCGCTCGCACACGCATGCACAGGTGACGATCCTGCAGCTCTTTCCGTCATCCAGGATGCGCATAGCAGACCTTCAAGTCACATCTCTCTCCTGAGGCAGAGAAGGTCCAAACAACTCTTTCAGGGTGTATTTTATTAAATGTTCTTCTCAGTGTATGTCTTTAATACAAGCTGAACTTCACAGGCCTGTGTTGTGGCCAAAAGCAATGGAAGCTGTGGATTGTTAAGGAGGAAATGCTTTAATAGACAGTGGCTGAAGGCTAATGCTGCCAGAGATTAAAGGCACCACAGTAAATAACTGTTGCAGACAGACAGAGAATTATAATGCCACCTTCGGGGGCTTGTGTGTTGTGTTAACTCGCGGCGTTATGGCGTGTCCGGCACACACCCAGAGCCTTGGGTGACCTGCATTGCATGCTGAACGTATGCTGTAAGTCATTTACACAGCTGGGCTTTTAAATGACGGTGACTCAACCAGAGGACGTCCCTGGCCCGGCGTCTGTCCCAAAAACACCACCCACCCCGCTCCAGAGTCACAGCAGTGCTCAAACAAACCCACAACCATTGGAGCGTTAGTCAACTTTTTATTCTGGTTTCATCCAGAGGTTTGAAACACGGGGAATGTTTTACAAGGAGTGAATGGTGCATGAGTTTAAATGGAAATACACACTATGAGGATGTCTCTCTGTGAGCAACAACTGGAGTATAAAGTCTGACTAATGTACCTTGACTTATGGGAAGAGGCAAAGCTTTGAGGGGCATGAGTGCCACATTTCTTTAGCTACATGAGAAAACAGCCAACACAAAAAGAGCTAATGCAGAAAAGACAGTCTGGAGATGACCTGACTTCCTTTTTTTTCTGTGAAGGTGAAACAGTAAGTTACCTTTCAAGAAGTTGGACAGATGTTTGACAGGATCACCTGAGAGTCAGAACAAGCAGCACCAACGCTCAGTGATATTTGTAAAACATGGCAGAATGTGATGACAAATGGGACTAAAGCAGAGACAGAACCTCAGCAAGAAGCTGTTCAGCTCAACATCTGTAAAACTGACGAAGAGCCGTTGGTGTTGGCTACAGCTGACGAGCTGTGGCGACCAGGTTACATTGGAAAAAGGTTTGTAAGCTCAATCATTCAGGTAGATAACAACAAAAAACGTTAAATCGTGTCATCTGGACCAGTTTCTTTAAGTGAGAAATGTTTTTCCCCCATCCAGAGGACTTCCTCAGTCTATGACCTGCCAACCAGATCTGCCCCAGTGGTGTCGTCTACATTTTTGTAGTGGGTATACTGTGCTTAGAACCCAAAGTACACCGGTTAGTACACAGTAACTGTCAATTTATTTAGATTTTTAAGCATATTGAACATTTCTAAATTTCTCTGATGCTTATATTTGAATAAATGAACAACAAACTTTGTACAACAGTTGGCTTTGTGTTAAAAACATGTTACAGAATTTATAAAACAGCATCAAAGCAAAGCGCAGCATGCCGATAGATGGTTACAGAAGCGTTTAACTGCTGTTTAACGTATCAATGACACATGCCTAATGATATGTCCTGTGTCATTGGGCACTTTTCAAGGTCAAGGTGTCTTTATTGTCATTCACATCACATGTGGTACATGAGGTATACTGAAACTATGTACACAGAGGTATACTTTTAAGTGGGTATACTGAAATTCTTGAGCTTTTCTAGTGGGTATACTCCGTATAACCGAGTATCACGTAGACTACACTGTCTACTGTCTACATGGGACTAGACTGTCCCATAGGTAGTCTTCACTGCTGTGTTTCAAGCCAACCTCTGCTGGAATCTCAAAAGTAAGATTTTAACATGTGCAAACAGAGCTCATCCGTCCAAAACAATCAATCATCATGTACAACAATCAAATGTTTTAGGCCAGATGGCCAACTTGCTACTCACAGAAACAGCCTGAGGACAACCAGGTCTTCAGTTTCTGGACCAGAAACTGGTCCAGATGACACGATTTAACCTTTTTTGTTGTTCGTCTTACATTGGGTTGACTCAAAAGATGAGTCGGTCACAAATGAACATCCAGTGATTGTTTTCTGAAGTCCCATCAGTGGCTCCTGAGATATTTTGCTAACAAACAAAATGGATTGACTCCAACAGTTAATGCTAAAGTTTCAAGCAAAAATCTTGTGCAACAACTGGCACTTAATGGGGGAGTGGCGGCGCAGAGGTTAGAGAAGATGGGCCTGTGATCGGAAAGTCGCAGGTTCAACTCCCCGGATTGACAACATCAAAATGTGGGTGGGATAGGTGAAGCATCCACACCTGCCTCCACCCTCATTTTCCCCACTCTGGACCCTTGAGCAAGGCCCTTAATCCCCACCATCTGCTCCCAAACAGGTCTCTCCTGAAAATGAGTCCTCGTGACTCAATGAGACTACCTGAATAAATAAATATAAATAAATAAATAAATAATAATGTGAATGAATCTCAGCTACTACTACAACGTGGTTTAGCATAATAGTTGAAATTTGGTCGTTTTTCTGTGTTTGCTAAGGTCAGATGTCTGTGGTAGTGTTGTAGTACTCCAGACCGGTCTTGGTAAATGGTGAATGGACTGTACTTATATAGCGCCTTTCTATCTTATTTCAAGATACTCAAAGCTCTTTACAACACAATCTGTGCCTCATTCACCCATTCATACAGCACTCTACTAGATCTCTACAAAGTTAATTGAACAAATCATTCTAAAGAGACTAATCAGCTTTATCACATTCATAAACTGATGGGACACACATCAGAGGCTATGAGGGGTTCAGCGTCTTGCCCAGTGACACTTCAGCATGTGACTGCTGGTGGATTCGAACCCCCAACTTTCGCATTGGAGGACGACTGCTCTAACCACTCAGCCACAGCCGCCCCTTGTCTCGGTACACTCTGGTCTTGGTCTTGACTTGGTCTCGGGTTAGGTGGTCTTGACTACAACACTGGTCTGTGGGAGCCATCTTGAATCAAAATGTTCATCAGTTCTAACAAACAGCGATCACTACCTGAAATCTGTCCAGTGGCTCATAATAATTTCTGGGCAACAACAGTGTCATCCAACTTCCCCTTTTGGCAGTGGATGATAATAAACTACTTCTTTTCCTCTTTTTCCCCTCTCTGAAGCACTCCTCTACCTCTTGACTTGGCCCTTGACTATGTGAGTCTCTGTGGTTGGGCTCATCTGTGTTTCAGCCTGTTGAAAATAGTCACAATGCATCCAGTAATTACACAGTGCAGTGGAGGAACCAGTGTCACCTCCCTCTGCTTTGCCAAGACACTTTAACAATGATCTTTCCAGGAATTATTATAAGCTGCCAGCCGAAATTTACCCCACAAAATGTGATCCAAAACACAACTATTCAGATATTGGTCATCTGCCATAATCATAAATGTGATAAAAAGTTATTATTTACCAACATGTGACTTTTGACTTTAGATAAATCAAAGACAGTTTCATTAAGTTTTCTAAAAATCAGCGTAGTGACTGAGTAAACAACAAGCAGCTCTCTGGAGTGAAGTGGATTCTATAACAAGCAAAATAATCTGATTAAACTGAGCTCAAATCATTTCGGACTACTATTATTTTGTGGTCTTTGTGTTTCCAAAAATGCTTCTCGATTAGAGCGGAAAAGGGAGGACCCGGTGCACTTTGAACCTATTCTTCTGCTGACTTACTCATTCTTTAGATAAGGCCCGGCTGACACATTAGCTCCTTCAGCCACAACCATAGAGCACCTGAACGTAGTGGTTGCACAGCTGTTTAACAAAAGCCTAAACTGGAATTTGACACTGCTGGTATTAGCAGGATAGCTGCAGGGTTTTTTCTTCCTCTTCTTTTGGAAGAATAAGTTTTGAGCTGGGCTTCCCATGTGTACGCAGGTGTGACAGCAAAGAGCACCTTAAAGTAAATTCTCCAGGGAAATGAAACCACAGTGGCAAGAACTCAAAAATTTAGCTTTTTCTACAAAAATGTAGCATTACTGCTGAATGACTTTACAGAAAATCTGTTGGAAAAACCTGAAGCTTGATTGACAAAGTTAAAACAAACTGAACACAAGCTAAAACGTACACAGCAGTTGTTAAAAGATAAAATTAGTTTAAATGTAGCTAAAGGCTAAAATTAGCAAAACCGTACCTAACACTAGCAAAATCATGGCCGAAAGGTAAAACCAAAAACCACAAGCTAAGAGCTAAAGCCACCAAAATGGATGCAGTGCTAATTCGAGCAAAACAGTAGCTAAAACAAAAGTTTTATACAACCATAACTAAAAGCTGAAATATGCAAAATTGTGGCTAAAATTTAAAATTTGTAAATCGGCCGCTAAAATCTATAACTCCCACAAGCCAAAGGCTCAAGCGAACAAAACTAAAGCTGAAAGCTAATTCAAGCAAAACAGAAGCTAAAAAGACTTACAAAACCATAGCTAACAGCTAAAATGAGCTAAATTAAAGTTTAACAGTAAAAACTGTTCAAAATTTTTAATTCCAATTGTTTTTATGAAATTTAAAAAAGTTTAAAAGTTTAAAAATATATAATGTATAAAAAGAACAAAGACTGAGCATCCTAAAGGTTTTGATGGATGATTTTGTTGTGTGATGCTGCATCAGCTGCTCACATGTGAGCTCAAACTTATTTACCCACAAGTCCTGAAATATTAGTTGCGTTAATCTCAAATAAAGTTCTGACTCCCAAAAAGTGTCCAGATGTTATCCTCCAAGACCTACTTTGTGTTTGTTTTTTGGGGTCGCTCTTTAAGTTAAAAGAATCGAGGAGCCTACCTAAGTTGACAAAGCTCATGACCATGTCCGCGTCGTTCAGGAAGTTGTTGTCCTGCAGGCTGGCTATCGGGGGCCCCTGGGTGGTGAAGATGGGCTTGTAGGGGTATGAGTACCTCTCCGCGTCCCCCTCCGTGGACATGGCGTTGTACAGGTCCAACATGAACATCGGGGCAGCGTTGTGCTTGCCGTGGAGATGGGGACGCGGCCGGTGCGGCAGCCCCAGGATGGACAGGATCTCGCGCTGCATCTCTCTGCGCTCCTGGCTCTTCAGCCGGCGGTGGATGAAGCTGGAGTGGAACTCGTTGTCCAGAGTGAAGTTCGCAAAGGCCGGGTCCGCCAGGACGCAGTAGCTCCAAACCAACAGCAAAACCACGGGCGCGCGTCTGTCCAAAACCTGTGCCATGCTGGTGAGGATGGTGACGCCGTGCGTAATTACGCTCGGATCCGTTCGCCTAAAGTCTGAAAACAACTAAATACTGAGGTATGAACTGCAGCCAGTCGGTGATCAGTATCCAGAACGAGCCCTCATGTTGAGGGAAGAGCTCCCAGATGACACATCAACCTCAGCTCAAAGTCCCTTCTCAGCTCGCGTGCGCCTCGCTCCTCATTCAAAACCTGCGGTGGAAAAGTTCCCCGGCTGAGCCGTGCAGCATGCAGCACTGCAGAGAGGAGGCTGCCAGCAGAGCTTTACACTGAACAAGTTGTGAGGAGGCGCTGAGCGCTGGGGAGGAGCAGGAGGAGGACAGAGAGAGAGCGCGCACGTGCTCCGACTGTTTGCTGCTGCCAGCTGGAGGGACAGCGAGAACTCGAGAAGTATGGATGTTATCTGCGCCGTGTGATGCTTCAGTTTATCCTGAAGCACGCTCGGTTGTTGCATTCCCACAATTCCTTGAGCCTGCGTGCGTGTTTGTGCGGATTCACTTAATAGCAGATGTTGAGATTGTGATGCTGGGCTCTTCTGAGCCTGAGTGTGTTGATGGAAAACACACTGCAGAGAAAAGGGAGTCATTATTTGCACTTTTCACCAGAGACTTCCCGCTGGGAGTCGTCCTGACATGCAGTTACATCACACCATAATGGTTACTGGTCTGCAGGTGCACCCTCCGAACACCTGGAGTGTGTAAAACTTATTGCTCTTTGAGGTCAAAAAGACCTTTGCATCACATGTCGTGCTCATGTTTGTCTCCACTGCTAAATGTGCACGGAGCACAGGATGGGTGCAGATGTTCCTCAGCTGCTTCACCGCCTCACCACCTCAACAGCACACTTTAAGGGAACGCTCATGAGCTTCTTGTGCGCTCTGACACAAGAGTGCTGCAACCCTCAGGGCTCTACAGTGAAAAGTTTTTTTTTTTTTTTTTGGTGTGCCAGGTGATTTTTATGGTAATAAAATTTCACTTCAGTAGCACATCAAAGAAGGGTACAGCTTTGTTGCAAACAGAAGGCGGGACAACAGGAGGCAGAGCATGTTTTGGGGATTTTCAACTCAACTTCCTCATGCCATCTTACATTACAGATCTTATTGTTCCATATTTTCCCAACAGAGCACTTATATCTCAGACTGCAGGTTTACTCGTGGTTCGTAGAGTTTCCAAAAACAGAATGGGAGGCAGAGCTTTCAGTTATCAGGCTCCTCTTTTGTGGAAACAACTTCTAGTTTATGTCTGTGAGGCTGACATATTGTCCAGTTTTAAAACTTTCCTTTTTGATAAATCCTATAGTTAGGGTCAACTCGGGTTTCCTGATCTGTGCCTTATATGCTGCTATAGGCTTAGACTGCTGGAGGACAAACTGACCACACTTTTTCACTCTACTACTGTCTTTACTTACTCTGCTCAACCTGTTTTGTATTTGTAATTATTTTTTCTATCATTAACATGTGTTTGTTGTCTTTCAGGTTCACCTGGACCTACACCTGGACCTACCATTCTGTGTTAGTTTCTCTCCTTCCTGTCCTCTCAACCAGCCGGTCAAAGCAGATGGCTGCTTGTCCTGAGTCTGGTTCTGCTGCAGGTTTCTTCCTTTTAAAAGGGAGTTTTTCCTTTCCACTGTTGCCACTGTGCTTGCTCAGGATGGGAGACTGCAACGAAGCGAAGATTCAACTTGTCTGCTGGATTCCTTAGATAGAGAACTTTACTAATTGACTTTTATGTATGTGAATGTTCTTGTAAAGTGCCCCGAGACAACTTTGGTGTGATTTAGCGCTATATAAATAAACAGAATTTAATTTCCTGCTCATTTTCTGGGATATATCTGTGATTTCTGAAGTGCTGTTCTGTCAGATAATTATGAAGATTTAGTACCTCTGAGCAGTGACATTACTCACAGATATATGAGCTGCTTTCCATCGTTTGTTTAGTTTGTCCCTGACGCATTCAGCAGCCTCAGGAGAACTCTGTTCAGGCTGAGGGAACCGCAACAAACTAAACAATGTCATGAAAAAATGTAGAGGTTTGATATTAACTAGCACTCTTTCACACATGTATGACAGTTTTAAGAGTTCAACAAAGTTCAGTCAGGTCATCTGGACGGTTTCGTTTTTTTTTTTTTTTTGAGACATTTCATCCTTCATCCAAAGGACTTCATCAGTCTGAGGAGCCACAACAAACTGAGTCCCACAAGCAGCACACTCACATAGTGGACCAACAAGTTTGCTGGTGACGTGATGGCCTCTGGGGCCCACCGTCTCCCCTGTAGACTCCTCTGAGGCAGCCATAGCCAAAGTGGTTCAAAACATCAAAGTTCAAATGCACAATAAATAAAATAAAAAAGAAAGAAAGAAAAAAAAATGTCTGACTGAACTTTGTTTGATTTTTTTACCTGGATCATTGAGCATGAACTTTGATGTTTTGAACCACTTGACCATGGCTGCCCCCAAGGAATCGACGGGGGAGAGGGCGGGTCCCATAACCATCTTATCACCAGCAAACTGGTTGGTCCACTATGTGAGTGTGCTGCTTGTGGGACTCAGTTTGCTGTGGCTCCTCAGACTGATGAAGTCCTTCGGATGGAGGATGAAACATTTCAACAAAAAAAAGAAACCGTCCATTTAACCTACCTGAACTTTGTTGGATTATTACCTGGATTATTGAGCATGACCTGTGATGTTTAATAGAGTTGCTTCATAAGTCAGAAAAAACATAATCAGAGGCTTCGGTTTAGCTAGCCTGTAGCCTAACATGAAAGAAAATGTATTTCCCTCAGTTCTCTATGACTGATCTCACATAAGATACTCACTATTAATAAGTATGCAGCAGCATCACTTCAAAAATCACCAGACTATCCCTTTATTGTGTTTTTTTTTAGTTGCACTCCTCTTTTTTCAGTGACATGATTAAATGCATGAGAGCTCACAAATCTGTAGCTCAAAACCTCCATTAGCTTCAAACAGGCCTTTCCTGTAACATATAAACATTTAGACAGAACCTGCTAATGGCCGCAGGTGTTTATAACACAGCCGTTACATAAAAGGCTCCATCCTGTAGCTATAAATCTTCCTCATTTTCTCACCCTCTCTTCCTCCCACTGCCTGACTCTTCTGCTTCCTCACCCTCGTTGGACGGTGGCTGCAGTCACAGTCTCACCAGGTGCTGCAACTAACCCTCAGCCCGCTGCTCCGGTTGTCAGCTCCGGCTCCCATGGGTGAGCAGCAGCACAAAAGGAACAGTCCCTCTTCTGTTTATAGGCCTCCGAGGGCCTGGTGACCGTCCCACTAAATGGTAGGCACAGGCTTGAGGCCCCGGCTCGGTGAGCGGCACTGAGTGGGGCTTTGACGAGAGGAATTAAAGCAGAAAAGATAGACGAAAAAACATTTGAAAGTTTTGTCATGTAGGGCAAAGCTGCTAAAACAGAATGGCTGCAGTTTCTCATTAAATGCGTCAGAGTATGAATTTACTCGAACACTTCTGCAAGCTCCCAGTATCTGTAGGTGTGTGGTCACGTGCTTCTACTTGTTCTGTTTGTGCTTTTTTTTTTAATCTAGTAAAACTCAACATTTGGCCTGAAGCACTTCTTCCCACTCCTCATAGGATCTGAGGCAGTTTGAGCAAACTTTCCTCGGCGCTCCAACAGGCTGAAGCATGATACAAAGAGGACCACACAGAGGCACAATAAAACAGCTCTGGAAACTCTTTTCACACCCCTGTAACGTTGTCATCTGTTCCTCACATTGTTCTCTCGTCTTTTCTTCCTTTTTTTTTATCTGTCGTGAGAGTCGGCGCTCTTCCTGCCCGATGGTTAACTCTGTTTAGCAGCTCAAAGCATGCGGTCAGAGGTCACATTAATATTTATTTCACGTGTTGCCTCAAAGAGCAGCAGGCAGCGGTCCTTTGAAGATCAGTGGACGCAGGAGGGCGGATGAGGTTTGAGAGTTTCTGACCAAGCAGAAACTGGAAAGCATGTTTTTTTTTTTAACTAAACCTCAAATGCAGCAAGAACACAAGACAAAGGAGACATTTCATCACCCCCATCTCCATCCCTGCCTGTCTGGTTGTTCTGTCCACATTTGTAGCCTCAGCCCACAGTGAGCGGAGCCCAGACTGACGGTCTGTTAAAACAGCCTAACCAGGTGGAGCTGAGTGACTGCAAATGTTCCCCTTCTGGTGTTTCACACATCCAGGGGCCTCACGGACATATGAAACACAGCTGTGTGTGTGTGTGTGTGTGTGCGTGTGTGTGTGTGTGTGTGTGTGTGTGTGTGTGTGTGTGTGTGTGTGTGTGTGTGTGTGTGAGAGAGAGAGAGAGAGAGAGAGAGAGAGAGAGAGAGAGAGAGAGAAAGAAAGAAAGAACAGCTTCACTTCACGGAGCCCATTATGGTTTTGGCTTTGATTACATCTTTGTACAAAAAAAGTAGAAATCTGGATTTAGTTTGAAACTGTTACGTTTGTTTGAAGCAACATCTTTTAGAAAATATGAAACATTTTCAACACAAAAACTTCAATTTCCTGTGAAAACACAGTGTGTATGCTGAGTGCTGAGGGACTTTGTTAAAATTAGCTAAAAAGATTAAATTGAGCTGTTAGAGCTAAAAGAGGCAAAACATTAGCTAAAAGCCAAAAGAAGCAAAATGTTAGCTTAAAGATAAAATAACAAAAACCTAGTTAATGTATCCAAACACTAGCCAGAAGCTAAAAGAAGCAAAAGCCTAACTAAAGGTTGAAAGAAGCTAAATGCCAGCTACATGCAAAAATAAGCAAAACATTAGCTAAAAGCCTAAATAACTAAATGCTAGCCTAATGTGTCAAAATGTTAGCTAAAGTAGCCAGATACAGTATAAAAACAGCTAGAAGCTAAAAAAGCTAAGTCAATGTAGCACAATGTAACTAAAAGTAATAAAAGTCTAGCTAAAAGTTAATATTTTTAAAAAACTTCTGCTTTACAGTTTTAGCTAAAAGAAGCAAAAGGCTAACTAAAGGCTGAAAGAAACTAAATGCTAGCTGCATGCAAAAATTAGCAAAACATTAGCAAAAAGTGAAAAGTGGCTAAATGTCAGCTTAAAGGTAAAATAACAAAAACCTAGCTAAAAGTATCAAAACGCTATAGCAGAAGCTAAAAAAGCAAAAGCCTAACTAAAGGTTGAAAGAAGCAAAATGCCAGCTACATGCAAAAATAAATTATTATTGCATTATAAAAATAATGCAATAATAAATAATAATAATTTTAA